GAAGGACAAATGCAAAGTACTCCACTTAGGAACGAACAATCAGTTGCACACATACAAAATGGGAAGTGACTGCCTAGGAAGGAGTACTGCGGAAAGGGATCTGGGGGTTATAGTGGACCCAAGCTAAATATGAGTCAACAGTGTAACGCTGCTCTTGCAAAAAAACTGAACATCATTCTGGGATGTATTAGCAGGAGTGTTGTAAGCAAAACACGAAAATTAATTCTTCTGCTCTACTCCGCTCTGATTAGGGCTCAACTGGAGTATTGTATCCAGTTCTGGGCACCACATTTCAGGAGGGATGTGGACAAATTGGAGAGAATCCAGAGAAGAGCAACAAAAATGTTTAAAGGTCTAGAAAACATGACCTATGAGGGAAGATTGAAAAAATTGGGTTTTTCAATCTTCAGGAAAAGAGAAGACTGAGAGGGGACATAACAGTTTTCAAGTATGTAAAAAGTTGTTAAAAGGAGAAGGAAGAAAATTGTTTTTCTTAACCTCTGAGGATAGGACAAGAAGCAATGGGCTTAAATTGCAGCAAGGGAGGTTTAGGTTGGATATTAGGAAAAACTTCCTGTCATGGTGGTTAAGCACTGGAATAAATTGCCTAGGGAGGTTGTGGAATCTCCATCATTGGAGATTTTTAAGAGCAGGTTAGGCAAACACCTGTCAGGAATGGTCTAGATAATTAGTCCTGCCACAAGTGCAGGGGACTGGACTAGATGACCTCTCGAGGTCCCTTCCAGTTCTATGATTCTATGGAATAATATGGAAAAATGGCTTCCGCAGCAATGAGTTTGATTCTGATACTGCAGAGTTTGCACAGAAAATGTAGCAGTAAAAATTATGTGCTCAGCAGTAACTAATGCACATGCTACCAAATGTAGCCTTTGACTTCATGGAGTTGTGCCTGATTACATCAGGACTGAATCTGGCCCAGAATCTTGGACATTAATCGTGTTTTATTGAGAGATTTAATGAGGAGATTGTGAGATATATTAAGTAAGTGGATCATCAGTATCTCTGCTAAATAAAATAATGATATTTGACAAAGTGCATACGGTAACTGTCATTTCCCCGCTTTAAAAAGCAGAAGCTTTTTCTAACTGGCTGATGTAGCTTCTTTATTTTCTATTCATAGTGAACTAAGGGCTGCTCTAAACAGCAAAGGGTATTGTTTTGGGGAACTGCATTATAATATACATGTCATAGAGAACACAGTTTGGTATTGTCATCTTAAGATGGGGAAAAACATGTTATGGGACCATAGGATGACCATGTAACAGTTTTTGTAGCATATTTTATATACTTAGGAAAGACCAAATGATGTTATCTGGTTTCATGACAAAATATATTTTGCTGCATAGAAGGACCCTAAATATAAGTCTACTACTTTAGTAGAGTAGAATAAAGTAACATCTCCAGTCATCAACTAAGAATAAATTAATAAATTGGCTCTGCAGACTGACTTGCTATTGTGATGTAAGTCAGGTTATCGAATAACAAATAAGTTGTTTGAGTGAAAGCAAGGCACAAATCTCAGCATCACTTAGCTCTTCAGATGACAGAATGCTAACAGTGTTGGTGTGGAAAGATGCACAGTATTAGCTTCTAGAAGATTGAGGATTATGTTGTCTTCTATAAGCACAGACAGAAAGGGAATATTTTTGTCTCTCCTTGAATGTTTATTCACATGTGATTACTGAAAACTCTCCTGTACTGACACACACAATATCTTAACGAACTGAAGGAGGATCACTGTGGTGTTCAGTGCTCTGAGGTCAGGGAGGTGAAAGCACACTGCAAACTTCGCCAGAAGGCTTGAACTTTGCCAGGCCGCTTTTGGTTTTGTCTGTTTACCTTAGCAGTGACAGAAGATTTAGACAGTTACTTATCTACTGCTGGTGCCACTGACAGCCCCAAACAGTGTCTTGTCAAATATACTACATCTCCTTTATTAGGAGCTACGTATTTTGAGTGTATTATAAAACTGTTATAATGAGATCTGATATAATTGGGAGCTAGTGACTGGTGTCGTTTGAAGTGATCCCCTCAGAAAAGACTAGTCAGAGATGCTAATGAGAAGAGAAAGACCATCATCCTTCTCTCTTGTAGCTCAGTTCAGTAATTAATAGTTTCTGTGGCTGCTAGCTCATAGCAGCTCGGAAGGGCAAGCCTGTTGGCTCCACCCCTGTGGAGATTAGTCTTGCATTTTCCAGGGGAAAAAATCATAAATGTTCCTTGCACTCTTGTGGCTGCATCCATCCCTATTTCAGGGCAAAATCCTTGTTCTTACCAATTCCAGTTGTCCTACAGACATGTAATTACCTACCAGGGTTGAGGAAGGCGCTCTCCTCCTCCCTGTGCTACAATTTGGGAAAAGGCCTGCATAATTTTGGACATCGTTCACCCTCCCCTTCCATTTATTTCATCCTTTGTCTTTACCTGACCTTCCCATCTCTTCCTACATCTTTTCCCCTCTCCAGGTATCCCACCTCTGTCCTCTATTTTTCTCATCTCTTCCCTTCCCTCTGTCCCATCTCCCCTCTCTCTGCCTTCTCCTGGTCTCCCTTGCCTTTTTGCGTGGGAGAGCTGCTCGTGCATTTCCCATAATGGCATATTCCTCTTGGCCATTTCTTTTTCTTTTTCTGTAGCATCTGGGCAGAGGGAAAAACAGAAGAGAACGCCAGAAGAGATGGAGCTGAAGTTCCTCTGCTGAGGTGGGAAATGCAGGTTCACAATATGGGATCCACGAGTATTATGGTGGGCCATGACTAAGAAACTGGCCAAAACGTGTGGAATTTGAGCTGTCTGAGGGTAACTCATGAACATGGAGTTCACAAAAGTGGAGCACGAGCAGGCTTCCTTGCAAGATTGCCAGCATTTTTGCTTTTTACCACAGCCAATAATAAGCCTTTTTCACAGTATTTCAGGACGGCTGGCGCTAGTTCCAGCCAGGTCCTAAAAATAAAAAGATGCATGAAAAGGAGAAAACAAACAAGATTTAGCCCAACATGCCAGGAATGTAAAGAAAGGTTCAGTCCTAGAAATGGATGAGCGGTCAGGTGGAGGAGGGTCTTCTTGTTTTTGTAACTGGTTTGCCCATTCCTGCATATGAATTTCCCAAAATCTTGAGTGGTCTGTTCCCCACCCATAAATGAAATGTTTTCGACAGATGAAAAATAAATTACTTCCAATGAGGCTGGAGAGCAAGAAGGGAAATACAACTGCACATGTGATTTTTAAAAGGAAATAATTTTCTATTATTATGATTAATTCCTCCCTGTATGTCAGACCATCTCAGTTCTTGCTTTTGGAAGTCTCTCCCTTGTGGTCAAGTCAAAGACTAATTTCAAGGTGTGGTATAAGACTCTTGGCATGTTTAGTTACTAGCTTTCAACATGATAAATAGAATTGTTAACGGTATGAGTTATTTTCTATAACAGTAATAAAAGATTACTTAGATTGTAAGCTCTTGGGGACAGGGACCATTTCTTTGTCTGTACAGTGCCTAGCATGATGGGCAGAGCTGACTAGTGGGGGGAGAAAGGGGTCAGTTTGCTCAAACTCCTGTTTGAGAGGGCCCCCAGAATGAAGGGGGGGCAAATTTTAGTGATTGGCATTGTGGCCTGGCACATGGAGTAACAATGCCACTCATTATTTGGCGCCCCCCCCTTCACCAGGCCCAGATCCCACTGTTGCTGTCACTGGCATTGTCAGGGTGAACCGAAGGCAACCTACTATGCCAAGAGCCTGTAGGTAAAAGAGGGGTCGGGGCTCAGGGAGAAGTAGGTTTGGGAACAGTTCCCTGGCCCCAAGCAGGGCAGAGCCCTCCAAATCCCCACAGTGACAGCAGCACCCCACAGAGAGGCTGGGGCCCTCTCCCACTACCCATCCCCTCCCCTTTTCTTAAATTCTTTTGTGTCCAAAGTAATTTTTTTTGAAGGGTTGGGGAGAGGGCTAAGTTTCAACTTTTGCCCCAGGCCCCCAAAAACTCCTGTGCAGCCCTGACACTGGAGTTCTGGCTTCTGGGTGCTACCACGATACAGGTGCTAGTAAGAGAACACAGCAGGTAGGAGGCAGAATAGGTTATGATTTGTGGAAAATTCACATGTTGTTATAAACATTATTTGTTTTTAACCAATTAATCCCACCTTGTCCATTTTACCATAAACAATTTGGTTGCTAATCTGATCCAGGCCGTAAATTGTCCACTTCTCTCAAATCTCTTAGCCTTGTCAGGGGGATTTGCTGCCATTTGGGAATGAGCTGGGGGATGCTGCGGTGTGTTATTTGGCTACTGATTTATTATCAGTCCGTGGCAGGGTGCGTAGTCAGTGCTACAGGAACAGTGCTTGCATCGGAAGAAGTGGGGGGTTTTATCCACGAAAGCTTATGTTAGTCTTTAAGGTGCCACCGGACTCCTCGCTTTTGTGGATACAGACTAACAGGGCTACCCCTCTGATACAGTACTTTTTAGTTTTTTGTGCTTGTGCCCATATACTGCAGAAAAGGTACTTGCAAAACCCCTCAGCGCGAGAGGCAGATTAGAAGGTTCATGGGTGCAACCACCAATCAATGACTCTCCCCTCGGGCAGCAGCAGCACAGCCACCAAGGAGCTGGGCTGTGGGGACCCAGCCAAGCCTGGGCTTGGCAGCAGCCCTCTCCCGGGCCAGAAGCTCAGCGCTGGCTGCTGGCAGGGGGGAAGCCTAGTCCCGCTTTGCTAAAGCGTTGGCGCTCGGGCTGTGCAATCACTAGTGGGAGCTGGAGAGGGCAAGCGGAAAAAAAAAATCTGCAGCGCCTGAGAGAACCCGGGGGGGGGGGGGGGGGGGGGGGCCGCCCCCCGCCGCAGCCGCGGCGGCAGCAGCAGCAGCTGCTGCTGACCCAACTTTGTGGCGTGGAGGCTGGAGGCGCAGGGGGAGCCGCAGCGGCACGGAGCGGCGTGCAGCGGGGCGCGCGGCGTCTGCTCTCCGGCCCGGGGCGCGCGGACCAAGCGGCAGAGGCGGGGGCGGCCTGGCAGCCGGTAAGGGAGCTCCGCGCTGGTGGCAGCTCTGCCCGGGCGCCTCGCGGGGCGCGCTCTGGGGCTAGCGAGCTCCGGCAAGGGGGGAGCCGCGGGTGGAAATGTAAAAGGCCCGCGCGGGAGGGGGGGGGAGGCGCGGGCGGCTTGCTCCGGAGCGGGCTGCGGTTTGTGTGCGGTACCTGTGCCCTGGCAACCGCCCCCGCGCCCGGAGGCGAAGCGGCGCTGGGATGCTGCAGCCGGGACCTTGGTGGAGGCGCCCTGCCGCTCAGGAAAGGCAGCGGCGGCTCCTGGCGGCCGGGGCTGGGGCTGGGAGGGGAGGCAGCGAGCGAGCGGGACCAGGTGGCTGAGGACGGGGCCGTGTGAAGACTCCCCCCCCCCCCCTTGTGATTGCCGGTGTCGGGGCTTTTCAGTGAGCCGGGAGCGGGTGGTCAGGCCATGGGGGGGCTGGTACTGACTCTGGGCGAAGTTTTCCAGCCGAAGTGCTTCACGATATAGGCTCTTACTGCCGCATCCAGGCACCCGAGGGAGAAGCGCCCTGCCTCTCACAGGTGCTGCTGGGCCGCCCCACTTTCATTGCCGTGGGAGCGGACGGTGCTCGGGAGCGCTGCAAACCGGACCACTGCTACTAGCCAGGGCCCCACGTACGGATTTCGGAGCCCACCTGTGGGTCCCCCGCGTTGGGAAATGTTGGCGGGTTGGGGGTGTTTAAGTAGCTGCTGAGGTGGCTCGCATGTGGAAGTGTTGCGGGCCAAAGTGTAAAGGGGTTTCGGTTGATGTCTCTGTGTTTCTGAGATCAAATCAGCTGCAAGGTTATTATTTGGTGCTTGCCAACCCAGCCCCTTGGCAGAGGACGCCAAGGCGTGGAGACAGGTTGTTATGCCGCCCTCCCCACCCCCACTGTAATCTTTTTATCATATCACTATTGAATTGATTGTATTTGATAGCTTCATAATTGCACTTTCACCATGCCACAGAATGGATCTTAATGACTGAAGAAATTAATTGCACTTGTGCATCTTATTCCTGCCCAACCCCTACCTGTTTGGATCATTAGAACTGAGTACAGTGTTTTCAATAAGTACTGGAGCATAGTCTGTATTTTCCAGCCTGCCTTGAGCTGCTTCTCTGACTAAATCAGACCAGTGATAATGATTTTTGGCAGCTCTTACGGATTTTGCAGGGAGTGCTTCCCCTTTAACACCATGAGCTGGACTGCTCTTGGAGGGACATTATTATTAAGGTGAAGAATGAATGACTCACTGCACTCAACGGTGCCTGTGAAGGAACACAGAGATTAAAGTCTTTAAACTATCCCCAAACACCTAAAAATAAACATCTTACAATTGCAAAAACATCTATAATGTTAGCAAAGAAGAATCAGCTGAAGAGAGGTCATTGGACTCAACAATGCAAAAGTGGCTGTTAAAGGACAGGATAGTGGCTAAAAAAAGTTGAAGTTAATTTAGGCAATTTATGTGGAAATACCACTGAAAACTTAAATCAGCAGCTGGATATTAATGGGATTCCTACATCTATACTCACCAAATATACATCCAATTTCTTAATTTTGCAACTACATTGGTGAAATTTTTAATCCTTTTCATTAGTTGGAAAAAGTGGTGGAAGTCTCTTCTAGTAACCTTTGAGTAAGCATAAGCCAAAGTATAGGTGTAAAGACTTTAACATTTTTAGTGGTCATATAACTGTGTTCTAACTATAAAAAGTATATTCAAAGATTTGTTTTTGTACATGGCAGATATCTTCTAAACCCCTTAGAAACATTTGCTATAGAGATGTTTGCTGAGAATATGGCATTTTGGCTTCAAATGCTTTAATGTCATTTGGTAAGTCATTGTAAAATCATGCAAAACAATTGCCTTCTATTCTGTAAGTTTGCCATTATTGTAGTGATGTTTTGCATGTAAAGCATACTTAAAATTACACAATACGTTTAATTTACCATGACTTCAGACATATTTTTATAATCATGCAAGTAGGGCTCTTTTTTTAGTTTTAAATTTAATTTAATGCAAGAAAATTTGAGACAGCATGTTATTTGTCTAATTTGAGAGGCTATTTAGTAAGCCTCTGGATCCTTTCCTTGTGGTCACATGTTACAGTTTGATATGATTTCATTACTCATGTGTCAAAAGCTGTTGATGAATTTTTAATGACACTGAAATGTGCTTTTAAATCAAAATGTCTGTTTGTCAAGATAAAATTTGGAAGATAATGGAGAATGCTGTGAATTTATGGAAAAAGTAATCTCTCTCTCTCTCGCTCTCAAAAATGCTTCCCTATTGTTTAAAAATAGGTTTTGCCCCACATAAAATACTGACTTACAGTGCTCAATTTTCTGAAGTTCTGCTTTGAAAACAGCACTTACACAACTCATTGCTAACTGACTGAAGAGCCTGATGAGAGGATTTCACTTGTTACAGGAAAAAGTAAATAGTTAAAACTGTCTATTCAGAACAAATACATATCTGCTATACACAGTGTTATTTTCTGACAAATAATCATAGTGAACAACTTTTAAAGTTAATATATTTTTTTCAAAAATTAAAACAACACAAAACTAGATATGGCTTGTGGAAAAGTCAAAGAATGCACAGAGGTGTTATACATTCAAATTAATTTGACTTAGTGCTTATTACATTATTGCCAATAAAAAGCAAAATTCACACCATGCAGAGGGCCAACAAGAGGTCTCTGCAGCACTTGTGTTCCACTTCAGTCCTGGTGCATAGTCCTCCTGCACAGGGGTGAGTTTCACCCAGAGCTTTTTTTTTTTTTTTTTTAAATAAATCATTAGAATGCAGTATATTCAGTGTTAGATTACTTGGTGTATTTAAGTTATATGGGTCACCATATTTAAATTTTGTGTTTGTTATTAAAAAGACCTTTCAATTATTTTAAAAGAAGGAATACAGAATAATAAATCGTGGGGCTTGACCTTCTTCCCACATCTTTGTAACTCCACTGACTTCAGCTGAGCTACTCCTGATTTACACCTATGTGAGAGAAGAATCAGGATTTCCAAGTCTGATTTTTTGTAGGTACTTCCACCATATTCAGATCTCCACTTTGTGTGTAATATGATTGCTTTGTGTGGAACAGCTATGGAATATGGCTCAGTCCTACAGTGTGTTGAGGCTGTGGCCCTGAGCCAGCAAAGCACTTAACAACGTGCTGAACTTCAAGCGTGTGAGTAGTCCACTTGGAATTAGTGGGTCTACTTATATAATTTAAAGTTAAGCATGTGCTTAAGTCCTTTGCTAGATGGAGGCCAGAATGCTCATTATTTTTCCTGATTGAGCCCTCGGGTCTTGAAATTCTCTTACAAGAGAAATGTTACTTGGTGGTAACATTAAGTGACAGATTCAGGAAGAACAGTTCATAAAGCCAGAGCTTTCTAGCCTGTTTGTTTCTGGATTTGTTTTCTATGCATTATTTCATAGAAAATGCAAGCAAAGAACAATATGTAAGTGAGCACATCCATTGCCAGGTGTGTGGAAACAGTGAGAGTTAGAAGAAAGCACTTTTTCAGGTGGGATATGTGAGTTCCTACTAATGAGAAATAAGATTACTTTTTTCATACATGTTTATAGTCGTCTCCATTTCCTAACAGAACCAGTGACTCAGTACTTCCTAAAATAGATATATATCTCTTAGATTGTAAGCTCTTTGGCGCTGGGACTTTCTTTTTATAGTGTGTCTACACAGTACCTAGTACAATGGGGATGGCATCTCTAACCACTGCTACAATACAATTGCTTCTCGGCCTTCTGGCTAAGAGAGGTGAAAACATTATCTACTGTAATAAAAACCATTTTGCAGTACGTGATTTCAAATTTAATTCATCCTTGGATACTTCTGAAGACCTCAATTAAACTTCTGAAAGGTATTTTCTGTCAATGTTCAGGTAGCTCTAAGGGCAGAATATTGCACTAGACCACTTGGATAATACATTGCTATCGTTATTCCACTTAAGGAGTTAGAAAATTTAGATGTATCAATATTTGCCTCTTTTTAAAGCTGAGTTAATCTAGATCCTCATTGCACGAATGTCAAGCTTAAATTTGAATGACACATAAAACAGAAATTTACTGGTGTAACAGTTCAATATCTACCCATTTTGCCTCATGTCTCAGTTCTGTTTTAGGAATTTTCTGTTATGCATAATAATTTAGTAGTGTCTCATGACAGACTTCTGTCATCTGATTTCTTGAGACCAACATGATTACAATGGAGAATGTTGCTAATGAGATTTGAATCTCTGAATGTGTGCTACCTTATTTGTGACACCTTACACAGAATAACTAGGAAACATACCAATTTAGGAAATAGAATCTGAGACAATTAAAGTTTTAAGCAATAAAAACTTTTGAAGCAGCTCCTTGATTAGCTGGCCGTTATCTGAAATGGGGGGAAATGAAAGAAAGATGTGTATATATAATGTTGCTTCCCTCAGTTTAGGGGCAATGCATTTCTCTTCATACTCAGGATTCAAATATCTGAGGCCTAATCCTGCGGAGTTTTACACAGGTTAGTAACTTTGTATGTGTGAGTAGTTTCCTTGAGCTCAGAGAAACTACTCAACTGAGGAAGGTTACATGACTAAGCATTCACAGGATTTGGGCTACATTTCATACCTGGCAGCAAATGTAAAAAAGCTTGTTTTACCACATGTCCAGAAACATTCCTCCGCCTGTAGCTTTGTGTATCTGCCATGGAGTTATCTTTGGCCATAATATGAACTGCTGATAGAAATGAGTGATTCTGATCTAAATGATAACGCTTCTTAAAACTAGATCTGAAACACACGGACTCATCATACAGTAGCTCCTTTTTTGTATAGATAAACTACTGTTGTTGCATTATCTAACATAATATAAATATTTGGCCTTGATGGGCAAAACTCTGAAGGAGGTGACTGGAAAATTCTTCATACAGCTATCAGTTCTAGTCCATTCATATGCAAACTGGTTTCTACCCTGGTA